ACTACTACTACTACTACTACTACTACTACTACTAACCACTAACTACTACTATTACTACTACTACTACTACTACTACTACTGCTGCTGCTACTACAACTACTTTCTTACTGCTATTGCTAACACAGTTAAGGATGTTTTTCGTTGTGTTTTATTAGTATTATTACTGACGTTACAGACAATTACCTAACAATATTTTAACAAATTTATTAATATTTAAAATCTTTAGATTATAATAGATTATGTTAATTTTGTCCCTACTAACTTCTAATTAAAAATTTCAAATAAGATTATGAATGATATTATCGCATTATTGTGCCTTGTGTAGAATGATAAAGAATTTTTTCATAAATTTAACTAGAGCAACGTGTGTGTGTGTGTGTGTGTGTGCGTGTGTGTGCGTGCGTGTGTGTGTGTAAGTTTACCGCGTTCATATTAAGCGTACAGTTAAACAATTACCTTTATATAAATTCAATTTTAATTCATTTCAATTCAGCAAAGAATTAATATTTTTGATTTTATGGTTAATTTTTTTGATCCTTCTATCATTTTATTCTTTGTTTTATGTGTAACTTTTTGTCACAAACGTAGACTTATTTCAAAATTCTTTCGTAGAAAATAAATGGAATTAATTTTATGGGCTCGATATAAATCGTCTGAGAAGTAAAAGTAATAATTTACGTAACATAACATAACAAAGTTTAAAGTCGTTCAGTAGACTAGAATCCGTGTAAGAACCACTACAAAATAAATGTCTCCTAGTATTCTAGCTCTCCTAGCTTGATTTTGAAGTTGTTGATTGAATCCACTGAAACAATTTCACAGCCCCGCTCGTTCCAAGCGTTTAATACCCTGCTGCTGAAGAATCTTTGCTTTGTTGGATTTTCTGTCTTCTTGAAGAGCTTGCATCTATGATCTCTTAATCCTTTCTTATATTCTAGTTGAAAGATCCTGGTGAACGGTGTTTCTTCTTTTCCAGTTATTAACTTATATGTCTGGATCAGACCTCCTCTGCATCTTCTCCTATTTCTAGTGTTGTTAATCCGCATTCTTTCAGCCTACCCCTACATATATTCTAGTTTTCCAGCTCTTTCGATAATGTTCAAGAACGTCTTTGTCTTTTTGCGGATCTGGACTCCAAACCTTTGAAGAGTAATAATAATAATAATAATAATAATAATTATTATTATTATTATTATAATACTTACTTGACAATTTAAAACATTTAAAAATAATAATCAACACGTTCGAAATTTCGCCGCTAGGTTTTTTCAATTGTTTCGATTTGTCGCTGGTTGACATTATTTGGTCGGATCAATTTTACAATAGTCTTATTAACTCTGCGATATCCTCATCATACGCTGTTTATTGTGATAGAAATTCGACGGAATGAATCAATATAAAACTAATCTGTTCTCGTTGTACTCATTTCGTGTTTCTTTCACTGAATGACGAGCTACGTAGAATACGCTTTTATAATTTTTTTTTTTTTTTTTTTTTTTTACCTAAATCATTTTTGATTATCGTCGATTATTTTATCCAAACTTTATTTCATTTTATTTTATCTATCTTAATGTGATTTTTTTTTTTTGTGGGGAAAATAAAAGATGTTAACATTATTTTAATTATTATTATAACAGCACTAACCGATCTAAGCATAATGGTACTAATACAAATAATAATAAACTCTACATTGACGTCACACAAGGATGAGAAATTGTATTAATAATAATTAAAAAAAACTGGCGACAACAACAGTAATAATAATAATAACAATAATAATAATAATAATAGGAAGAAGAAGAAATATTATTAATATTATTATTATTCCTTTTATTTATGTAATTGCTAACAAGATCATCTGATGTGTTCGTTTACTAAGACAAACATTACCAACAGTTCGTGTCTCGATAGATCTATTTTAAGTTACTTTCGTGTTTTACACCGACAACACATTACTAATAACAACAATGAGTACCACTGCTACTTGTACTAATACTGCCACTGTGGCTGCTGTTGCTTCTTCTGCTGCTACTACTACAACAACAACAACGACAAATAATTCGTATCAAAAACATTCGATTTTAAAAGTTACATACGTCTTTCGTGTGATATATTTCTTTCTACTATTGCTACTACTACTACTACTACTACTACTACTACTACTACTACTACTACTACTACTACTACTACTACTACCGCTACTACTACTACTACTACTACTACTACTACTACTACTACTACTACTACTACTACTACTACTACTACTGCCACTACTACTACTACTACTGCCGCTACTACTACTATTATTACTACTGCTACTAATATTACTACTACTACTATTACTACTACTGCTGCTGCTGCTGCTACTACTACTACTACATAGAATAATGACGATGATGTTGTTATTATTTTACTGTGAGAAATGCGTATTTTGAACAATGTATGTTGTAGTTGTTGTTATGACTTTATAATTGTTGTTATTGTTATTGTTGCTATTGTTATTGTTGTTGCGTTGTTGTTATTGTTGCTGTTGTTATTGTTGTTGTCTTTTTTGTTGCTATTACTCATCTCAATTGCTTAACTTCAACCGACAGACTAAGTTTATTTATACCTCAATGAATATGTGCGTGAGACACAAAGATCGTAAATACAATAAACAAAACAACAACAACAATAACAACAACAACAATAATAATAATATTAAATTACTCTTTTACTTCTTAGTATTATAACGGAAATTTTATACAAGATAGATTTGTGATTCAATGTAGGATTTTGTTGTTGTCGTTGTTATTGTTGATGTTGTTGTTGATGTTGTTGTTGTTGGTGGTGTTGATGATGTTTTTGTTGTTGTTGACGATGATGACGGTGATGGTGGGCAAACTAAGGCCCGCTGGCCACATGCGGCCCGCGAAGCTATTTTATACCGGCCCGCGAGACCTTGTTTGCCAAAAAACAAGACATTATGACCCAAAAAAGCCACAAATCTTAAAAAAATTCTTCCCCGGGTCGAAAAAGTTTGCTATTTAAGTACATATGCCGCCCTTTCAAAGGTAAAATGGTTCTCGAATGCGGCCTTCACAGCAAAAAGTTTGCCCACCCCTGGTTTAACCGTTGAGTTCTGTTCATCTTTCTAAAGTAAAACCAAAAACCAATTATAATGAAAAATAGCGTCATTAATGATATTATTATTATTAATTTTATTATTATTATTATTATCATTATTATATCTGTAATTAACCTGTCGTTTCATTATCAGTTTTCTCAAAAAATTGATGTTTGCCACATTAATGATGATGACGACGACGATGATGATGATGGTGACGAAGATGAGGATGATGATGATGGTGATGACGACGATGATGATGATGTAAGTGAAAGATATCCGACCAGCTAGCTAAACAACACAAATAGCTGAACGGAAATACATAAATACACACACACATACACACACACACACACACGCGCACACACACAACACACACACATACATGGCCTGCATGTATAATAGAATAGCTTTCATTGAAACACAATGCCACACTAATACAATAAAAGCTGACAAACATTTTCAATAATTATAACAATAATAATAATAATTATAACTATCAAAATTTTATATATTTTAAGCAAAGTATTAGCTAGGTACATTAATAATAATGTAAACAATCATAATTTAAATAATAACTACAACAATAATAATAATACTTCATAATAATAATAATAATAAGCTGCCTCACCCGGATTTTATAAAACGGTCCAATCACTTAATAGCTTTCTTATTCTCCAATAGCATTAAATAGAGAAATAAATAAAATTAACAATATTATTTTCGATTAATTCTTTGTTTATTATAAGTTCATAATATTTTACCCTGGAAAACAATTGTACGAAATTATAAGGGCATATTTTCGGGATAATTTTTTTTTATTATTGGTAGCAGGTCTACCAATAAATACTTTAATGTAAAATATATTTATTTTACATAATTACATTCAATAGCTGGTCTATCTGAATTATTCTATGTTATTTATTGTAATTTATAATAATTATTTATAATTCATATTATAATTCATATTATAATTCATATTATTATTAATTTTGTATATCTGTTAGCCGGTCTAGCAGTTGTAATTTATTAAGTTTCATTCATTCATTTATCAATCTATCTTTCTCTTTCCCTTCAATCAATCAATCAATCATCCATTCTTTTCTCAAATAATTAAATAATACAATCAATAATAATAATATTATAAATTAATTAAAATAATATTATTATTGACAATATTAATAATAATAATAATTCACGTCAAAACATTGGAATTGGAAAAAACTCAATTATGGCATCAACTACTTCTGCCAACGCTTCATTTGCATCACCAAGGTTATTATAATTACAATTATAATGGTTATTATAATTATAATTAATAATAATAATTATTATAATTATAATAATTATAATGATAATTACACTAATCACAACAACGATAATAACAATAATGATAATGAGACATCGTTGAAAATACCGTAGTGATGTTAATGTATCATAGAAAAAATGTATACATACTTACGACACAAACACATTAACCTAGCGAACGGTGACAACAACAACATTAACAACATCATTAACAACAACAACATTAACAACAACATCTTCAACAACAACAACATCATCAACAACAACATCATCATCAACAGCAACAACAACATTAACATCATCATCTTCAACAACAACATCAACAACAACATTAGCATCTGCAACAACAACAACAATTTCAGATCAACTAAAGGTGCCTCAAAACAGCGAAGAGAAAACATCAACTATGAGATATCGATGATCCGAGATTTGCTGCCTCTACAAGAACCGGTCCGCAATCGGTTATCCCAACTTCAAGTGATGTCAATGTGCAAAGCTTTCATTGGAAAATCGAATCTCCTGGCTACTTGTTAGTGAAATTAGGGAAAGAATAATAATTTTTTTATTTATTTTTTTTTGTTCTCTG